AGGCTTTGCACGTGGATTTGGTCTAAGCATGTCCCTACACTTTTTCAGCCCTATGTCTAAGCTAATCAAGCTACCCCGTTGTCCAAGCACACAAGTGTGTTCACAAGGCCCAATGTTTGCCTCACACACATCATCAGGGAAATCCCTCGTTAGCACGTAAGCGGTGCATCCCATGGACTAACAAGAGCCACTGACGAACCCTGACCATGCGCAATGAGGTCATGATCTAGTATCACCGAGCTTGATAGAGCCATTTAATGGGTTGATACATAACCCTTACACACAAAAAGGCTTGTCGTGGTGGCTACACATGCCTAGAAATCAATCTCGCATACATTTATGCATGTAGTCCGGGTTAGGCTAGGATTAGACTTAAGGGTTAGGCCAGGGCCCATAACAAAAAATGAAGTCCTGTCCCAGAAATTGAAAATACAATCCTAACCCCATGTAAAAGCTTGGATTGGGTTTGCCAGGGCTCGAATGGGTGCCCAAGTTGCACCGATAATTTGGACAAATTTAAAATGCATTATAAGGAGAAGCCAAGAAGAGTGGCCTTCTTGGTGCTCTCACTCGAACTAAACCCAATCAAAATTCAAAATATATACATACAACCTTGTGATTTCTCTTTGCTTCACAGATGATTTTATCTAGATAGAGCAAATAACAACGTATCTTTATTACACTATTATCAATTCTGCAACGTGAATAGTCTCCACCAACTCAAAATGACATGATTTTATCTAGATAGAGCATTACCAATGTAGCCAATCCAATTGTGGTTGTGATCGGTTCAGATCAGAAGATTATTGAAAATTGAAAATTTTATATATAATCACTCTTTCGTAATCTGATGACACATACACATTTCACACAAACAAAAAAGCAAGATTGCAACCAAAAAGCAGCATTGTAGTCAGTAAGGTTAGTCTCGTGGCAAAGTCTACAGCATTGATTACTTGAATCATAAAACAAGATTGCAAATGGCCTACAACCAAACTGTCTCAAATTCATAGAAGATGAGAATGATCCACAAAGGCTTAATAAAAAATAATTAATCCCCAAAAAGAGAAAGAAAGAGAATGGTCTACATCTACGATGAATGGGCAAATGAAAGACTGACAATATTATTGGGTAATGCCTAGCCCAGTTACGGGAATACGTTTTCTCTGACGGAAATGGCAAGATTTCTGTTGAGTTTGCACTAATAGTGGCAGCTGACTATAATCTCAAGGATTACTCCTCCTGCCTTCCAAACTCGGTATGCAGGTTATAACTATAAGGGTGTTGTAGCCTTGGACCCAACATCTACAGCGAAGCTATCGCTGAGGCCAAGCAATGCTGGGTTTCATCAAGGCAACCCAGCATGGCCAAGGTTCCACTTCAACAGGTTCAATGGCAATGGCAGGTATTTTTAGTTCGTTTATCTCTTATTCTGTTGTTACAGATTGCATACTGCTATATTAAGAGTGGGAGCTTTCCACTTCTCACATCTCAACACTTGCAATACAACCCCACTACCCACATATTCTGCATTTTTTTAGGAAATTGCCAGGTAGTTACTTTCACCAGAAGTTTTTGAGAGCAAAATACTTGCATGGTAAACATTTCTTCATGATTTTATGCACACACGCTACCTGAAGCTCCAAAAGTTGCAGCTTTCATTAATTAGTTTTCAAAACATTAGGATGTTGACAGGTTTAGCAGAGAGATCAGAGATTGTAACATTAATTCAACCAGTTCCCCTCCCATTGATACACTTGTAAAACACCCCATGGAAAACTTACTGCATTGAAAATAATTGTCGCATCCATGCCTACCTCCTCCTCCTCCTCTCCACTACTATTTCACATGATTTGCAATGGAACCATCTTTGGTCACAGCCATCAGCCAAACTGTTTTTATGGCATTGTGCCTACCATATTGATACAAGTTGTCCGTTCTGTAATCATTCACAAGACACTATTGTGCACTCCTTATTGTCATGCTCATGCTCAGTGGTTCAAACAATTTGAATTTCATAATTGATGATTTGCTAATTACAGGTATACTGACACTTCTCTATTGTTGGTGGCAACGAGATTGTCAACTCAATTCTTTAATGGATGGCTATCTATTTCAGGGTGGAATTATTATGCCCAAAATGCTCATTTATTTGATGGTGTTCAATTCGATCCTACTGTTGTTAAACGCAAGGCTCACGCTGAAATTGATTGATGCTTTAAGTCTTTCGGATCCCATGCCATCTGCAACTTGGACACTCTTGGCCCCTGAATTGGCACATGTGTGGTCTAAACATGCTGTATATGTTTTAAAAGTGAACGTTGATGCTGCTTTTAAACATGGTGTGGGTTCTATTGGACGTTCCATCATCACTCAAGCTTTAGCTCTTTATCATGATCCAAGAGCTTCAATTATCATATATTATTATTAAAGGTGATGCTTATAGTATTTTCAAACTCACGTTGGTGGATGATCGCCATCCATATCATTACTGCGTGCAAGAGCCTTTTTTCCAACCTTCATTCTTTCTCGGTGAATTGTGTGAGACGGACGACAAATGTTGCTACTGCTCATTTAGTTGCTAGACGGGGTTTATCTTTGTCTACATTTTTTATATAATACTGTTGAAATGGACTCTTCACCGGGCTAATGGAATTTTGCCTAAAAAAGGTTATTCTATTTCAAAGTGGAATTAATCACTTTTGAGATGTTCTTTTCTAAAATATTGGAATTAATCAGTTCCCAGCACCATCGTTGGTTCGTTCAAATTTGTTCATGGCACTGTCATCAGTTCCCAACACCATTGTAGCAATGGCATAGATCTTCAATCTCAAGGTAGAAGACAATGAACAATCAAGGTTCAAAGTATCGGAAACGCAAGATGTATCAGAAAAACAATTTTAAGAGATGTATCGAGATATGCTTTGGATATGCATAGATATGGACAAAAAATCAAGATATGCACAAATATGTTAGAAAATTCAAATATATCCTAAAAATATATTACTAACAATAATTATAAGTTTTAAATAATTGTAAATAAATCATTTAAATGTAAAAATCCATAATTTAATGGTTTATATAGTGAGATATCGAGATACAATTGATAATTAATAACTGTTGAAGAATGATGGAATAAATAAAATGTGAAAAAAAAAACTATAGTATGAATGTGTATACATCAATTTTCAAACAACCAATATAAATGTAAATGTGTATACATCAATTTATCTTAATATTTATTAGTATATAAATTTTAATAATTAATTCTACCATTTATTAATAAATATCCACTAAAAAAAGAGAAAAATTACTTAAAAATAATAATACATTCAACCATAACAAACAAATGGGCATGGCCTAGTGCTGACTTATGATTGTTAAAACTTGGTGACTAAGGCTCAAATCTTACTATTGTTAAAGTTTGTAATTTTATACTAATAAAACGAAATTAAAGAGAGTATCATTAACTAACAAAATTAATGAAAATTCAAATTAGGCGCTAAAATTCAAATTTAAAGTAGGTGTGATTAACTAATTAAGGAAAGAAAAGTTAGATTTAAATAATAGAAGTAATTAACAAGATTAAGGCTGTGTTTGGTTGCAATGCAACTAAATTTGCACGAATGCAAAACCATGAGTACAAATGTTGAGTGTAAATTCTGACCTATTTTTATTTCAAATTTTAGCTTATTTTGTTTGATTGCAGTACAAATGAAGTAAATTACGACATGAATTTGAATAAAGTAAAATCTAAAACAAAATTAAACAAGAATTTACATTTTTTACATTTGCACTCCCATGCATTTGTACTAGTACAAATAAATTTGCACTGCAACCAAACACAGCCTAATGAATGGAGCACCCAAAAAAATCAAGTGTATTGGGGTGTATCAAATTGTTTCATGTCTGTATCAAATGATACAAAGTCAAAACAGTCCAACCCGTATCAGTGTGATGCATACAAAAAGAAACGAAATAGCTGATTTCCACACGTTCCGTGTATCAGGCTCTTGTCAAAACATTACCTATCGGCCAATACAGCCCGATAAATTGCAAGATTTTGACCCTTGTGAACGAACAGTGTCTTCTTTTAAGGGCAGTGACACATGTTATCACGTGATACAGACTGATGAACTGCTAACAGCAGACACACATTCTGAAGTTTGGAGACTGACTTGACACAACCCCTAAAATTCAAAGTACTGATCAGGAATTTTCCCAAATAAATAATCCAGCATAACCCTAATCTGTAAGGAACGAAAAACAAACATAAATAATCCTAGTCTGTCGCTAGCAGGCGCATCCGGGTTGTGGAAAGCTTCCCTTTCCCTCACCAGGGGTCCAGGCTCATATTGACATATTCTAGGAAAGCTTCCCTTGGCAGAACCTTTCTGAATTGCATTGGTAACGTTAAAAAAGTCACTAATTAGCTTGATGATTCACGACAGCTTCTTTCTTCTGTTTCTGTTGTGTTTCAGCGTTGGGTTGGGGTCACTTGGGTAGGTTCTTGTCCATCACCAGTAATTGCAGTCCAAAAACCGCATTACAAATAACACTAATTTCGGGCCCAGAAACAAACCCAATTGGCAATCCAACATGGCTGTGAATGTTTAGTCATTATCGAGTAATGACATTTTGATGGACTCAACGGATTTGTTTGAAGTTTGAATGTCTTGATTCTCTCCCATTCTATCCATGATCAAAGTCATCTGTTAATAAGAGTTGGCTTATCTTCTAATAGATCTTACCAAGCTGTAAATTCAAGATGCCGGGGCTTTGGTTTCTTTCACCGGTCTAAGAATAGACCAAATCATTAGAGGCTTTACAGAAAACCACTCATGCAGTCCAAACATGTCCGGTGTCCCTAAATCTCAATTCTCACAAAAAGCCCAACCCGGTTCCCTGGAGAGGCTGGAACTTAGATCTAAAGCAATCCCCTTCTCCAATTTGAATATTTTAGTAAGTGAAGCCCGATTTTATATAAAGCTCCAAAGAGGTACACACTCAACAAACAGCAGTTTAATCGTATCCCATCAATCGGATCCATATTAAACATCAATCCTGGAAGGGCACATACACCACCCATCCACACAATTTTCCACTCTTGTGGGGAAATGGGAATTTTAGAAGACAACAATAGGAAGAAGTCAGTCTGCTAGTAGTAAGAGACTTCCCCACTAAACCCCACAAAGTGTAAAAGACTTACAGAAATTGTTAGAGAATAATAACATGACAATCCTGTTAGCAGTAGTAACTGGTAATTGAAGCCGAGAAGAAAACACCAGAACGAGATTTTGATTCAATCAATGCCCAAGCTGGAAAAGGGTTCAATACCACCCTGATAACAGTAATAAAAGGAGAAAAAAAATGAACATGAAGCTACTCTCATTGACACTAATTTGCAAAATGATTGCTTAAATTCATGTAAAGATATTATCAACCATTTCGATTAAGATTTTCACACTTGAGGAATTAGACAAGGAAAAAATATGGAAGGAGAGGTCAAAATTGTATGAATATGACCCTTCATAAATGGATAGACTGATAGAATCGGGTATGGTGGTTGAAAAGATTGCCCAATTTGATGAAACCACAATTATACTAGAATAGTCTAGAAACCTTACTAAAAAAACAAAGAAATTAAAATGGGCAAGGAAGAAAATGTGAAAAGGACAACGAAAAAGAGAGCTATAAGGTTAATAATAGCCATTTTTTGATTTAGAAAAGCTAATGCCATTGGTAAATAATCCAACTCTACTGAAAAATGCTACTCACAGAGCAGTCATCATGAACACGCCAAATTGTCTCGCCCAAAAGGTTTGCTACTGACAGAACAGTGAGCTGAGGAAAGTAGTTCTGTTCCATCACAGGAATGGTATTTGTGATAATCACTTCCTGAAACAGGCCACTTGACAACCTCTCAATGGCAGGAGGGCTGCACGGAAGAAGACTAAAATGTCAGTCATAATTGACAACAGAATGGATGCATGAATCTCATATTATGTTGTATTATAATGAAAATAACCTCAATTTAAAGTCTCGCATTGATTGAAATGAAAAGGAAAAACCCTTTTTTCCTTCTAAGCCTTTTGACTAATTAATGGCTATTATCATGGCAATCATAACAATAGATGCAAAGGTTGGCACCAGATATGCAAACTAGCCCATAGAAAATTGAACGTAGAGATTCAACCTAATTGGAAAACTATTACCATCCAAAATTATCCTCCCAAAAGAAATACAGATATTAGATGTATAGCTAACTGTTAGTGGTGTTAGTGAAGGGGTATTTCAGTCTTTGTACTTGTTGAGAATGCTGATGTGTACTGTTATGTTAGTTCGAGTGCCTCTTA